CCCTTCTCCACCTCACAGCCTCACAATTCCAGTGGACAAGCTCCTGCTTTAGCTCTCACCTTAAGGTAATGACGAGGGTAAACAAATTTCACGCCGCACACCAACTGTCCTGAGGCATCAGAGAGAAAGTGGAGCAGTGATTAGGGCTGTTCTGGGTGGTGCTGCTGGTGGCTGAGACCTTGGACCCCAGCAATTGCGAGGTGGCCTTTCCCTGCCAATGTCCATCACCTTGATTCTTTCTGCATGTATCTTCCCTAACTGTCCTCTAGTTCTTTCCTTAGAGGCATCTTGGCTGCACCAAGAGCCCTGTGGATTTACCCACCTACTCAGCTGATTACCTCCATTTTTCTCCAAAGGGCAGGGAAATTAGGCACAGCATTTGGCATGACCCAAGACTTGAAGAGGCAAGGTATCTGAGCCCCTAGTCTGGATATCAGTTCTCTTGATACCATGAACACCACGAGTCCGTCAGAGACTGTTGTTCTTTTTAATTTACTGTCTTAACCAGTTTTTTTTTTTTTTAACTTTTTTTTGTGAGGAAGATCAGCCCTGAGCTAACATCGGATGCTGATCCTCCTCTTTTCTTTTTGCTGTGGAAGAATGGCCCTGCGCTAACATCCATGCCCATCTCCCTCTACTTTATATGAGACACCGCCACAGCATGGCTTGACAAGTGGTGTGCACCCAGGTTCCGAACCTGCGAACCCTGGGCTGCCGAAGCAGAGTGCGCGCACTTAACCGCTGCACCACTGGGCCAGTCCGAGACTGATGTTCTTAACTCTAAGGTCTTGGGTGTAATTCCCACAAAGAGAAAAACTCAGGGTAAAGCTGTAGTCTGCACCTCTCTCCTTGATTAGTCACTGGGGGGGAGGGTGGCAAAGTGTGTAACCATTAGGAAAATGGGCATGACTCAAAAAAAGTAGCTTCAGAATCAAGTCCACAAGTTGCAACTTGAGGAAACAAGTTATAACTCAGCAAAATGGGTTAACATTATTTCACATATGAAATACATAAAGCCTATCAGCTGGTACTGAAAATAATTTCATTCTAAGTCACTGACACGAAAAGGACAGAAACATTCTGTATGGTAGGAACATATCTTTATCTTGTCTCCTACATTTATAGTATCAATTCATAAAATGTGATCATTAAAAGAAACATAAAAAAAAAGTTGGAGAGCTTTATGGATATTATATAATCAGCCAATTAGGATCAGAAAGCAAAAAAACACTCTCTATGCTTTCTCCAATTCCCAGTCTAAGCCTCCTCAGGTAGGGCAGCTCATCCAAGTCCTGAAGAAAATGAACCTTGGAAAACTTCAATTCCCCTAGCAGGCAGGAGAACACTTTTGACGGTTTTGACATAGACTTCTGAGGAATGATACTCTGGTGGGGTGACTGCCCTCAGACTAATGACCTGACATTCACAGGAAGACAGAGAGAGATGATAAATATGCTAATTGAAGGGTCTTTGGTGCAGGTATTGAAAGGGGCTACAGGCACTGCTGTTTCTGTGATCAATAATATCAAGGTGACAAAAATCATCCCACTGTGTTCATCCCTGAACTATGCATTTCAGGTCACTGAAGCCCCACCTCTCTGCTCATGTGCAGCCTGCCAGTCAGTAGACAATCTCAATCCACAAAGCAAATGGTACAGCCTTTCCATATGCTGGATACAAATTACTTTACATAGAAATTGAGTGTTTCTCACCTTTTCATTACTTTCTGTTTTAGAAAGGGGAAAGGAGGAGGGGAGAGAAGAACTGAATAATTTGCCTTAGAAAAGACCCACTGGGCTTTCCCAGTCTTGTCAGAATAGTAATTGTCAATTCTTTCCTCCTCTTGCAAAACTCCACTCAGACAACAGGAATCCAGAGGATAAGGTAGAAGATACAATGTAAAAGACAAATAGAAGTCAACGGGGAAAAATATTTCCCACAATATTGTGAGAGACTATTATCTTACTTCTAAAGATGCTCTTGGGAAATAAATGGGAATTAAGAGACACAGAGTAAAATTCACAGAGAGCACAGTTTGAGACAATAGACCTTTGAGCTCATCTGGATTGATTTTTTGTTAATTGTCACATAAATTTTATGTTTTCATGAAAAAGAGAATACCCGACTGCCCAGACAAACGTGCCTTTCATTTTCTGATTGTCTGATGTGCAGAGCAAGCCCCAGCACGTGGACAAACCGGATGGATGTTCTGGACTCCCCTCTGCTACGGGCAACAGAGGAGATGATGACAGTAAGTGGTACTGAAAAGGGCCTTAGTCAAAAACAATGCTTTCATTCCAGTCTCTGAATTATGAGATGAGGGTAACAGGAGAAAGCCATGAGAACCAATATACCCAAATAGTCTAATTCAACCCACTCCCCACGAGCAGTCCCTCCCCATCATGTCTTCTCTGAAGAGAAGCTCTGGATCTTGTCAAAGTGTAGAGCTGTCAAAGAGCATAAATAACTCTCACGCATGCACCCCCAACAAAAACCATCAGCTGCCAAATAAAAGAATTAATAGTTTCCCAGCTGAGAAGGAAGCCAGTATAAGGAAGAAGAGGAAGAAAATCCTCAATTTCACAAATTGGCCCTGGCTACGATCTAATCTACAGTCTCATTCCTGCCTCTCACTTTTTCCTCAAAGCCGAGTCAGTTTTGGTAAAAGCAACCTGGTTGCAGGCAGAGGAGGCCCTGAATGAGTCTACTTTCCAATGAGATGTCACAACTCTCAGCATCTTCACTGGTAAAGAAGTGCATGCATCCCAGAGAAGCGCTGGCAGAAGCACTGGCACCTGGTTTATTGTAACTTCGGCCAGAGCAATGAAATTCCTCTTGAATTTCTGTGGGGTGATCAATGACTCTGCTCTAATGAAACCATAAATCAGAAGGGATTTACATAAAATGAGTCCCACACTTGGCACCTCAACAAACAGCAAGTGATAGATTTTGCATTAAATTATAAGACCTACCGAACAAACTTATCACTTACCAATAAATACATCCCACTGAAAATTCCAATCAATCTTTAGGTCTTTCTAAAGCATCTCCGCTGCAGATATGCTTGTAGCCAGGGAAGCAGGCAAATCATGACTCTGACTCTAAGAGCCACCCTTTGCTTTCAACACACAAAGTCTTCCTAGGAATTTTACCAACATATAGTTCTTTCATGACTAACCACAGAAGGAAATCTCGGCCTAAGCTGAAAACACTCCATGATAAAATATACATTTTTATATATCAGAAGGTGCTAGAGGAGGGGTGGTAGAGGAGGGCTAGCAAATGACAGGCTGCCACCTCTTCTTGTAAATGGAATTGTATTGGAACACAGCCACATCCATTCATTCGTTCGCCTCTATGCTGTTTTTGCAGTACAATAGCAGAGTTGAGTAGTTGCAACAGAAACCTTCCAGCCCCTCAAAGCCTAGAATATTTGCTTTGTGGCCCTTTAGAGAAAATATTTGCCAGCCCCTGTGCTAGAGAAAAGACAGAAAAAGTAAACTATGAAGTTACCTGAGCTGAGCTATGCTGCTGGGTTCTGCTTCACTCTAGAAGCCTCAAAGGTAAGCCATAAGGGACCTAACTCTCTGGGTATTTGAGAATGTGGAGAAGGATTTGTGGTGGGTCTACTTTGAAAATAACGGCTATGAGTTTAACTGGATTTGTTTTTTAAGATTTCGAATAAATTTTAGGTTCTCCTAATCCATCTAATTCTGCCTGGGTGAGAAGTCTCAGAGAGGAAGCGAGTTAGAGCTCCGGTTTGAAGAAATAAGAATAAATTTGGGAAACAAGGGAATTCCAGGAAGAAGGAGCAAAACAATTTCTGCCCGAGAATTAACTAGGGATTAGGTCTTCCTTACTTGAAGTTTTTTCCTTGCAGGAAGTAAAAAAGTTGCATATCAATCTATGAGTTAAGGATTCACTACAAGTCATCCTTTGTCCAGATAAAAATTACTTGACACAGAAATTGAGTGTTTCTTACCTTTTCATTACTTTCTGTTTTAGAAAGGGGAAAGGAGGAGGGCGGAAAGAACTGAATAATTTGCCTCAAAAGAGGCCCACTGGGCTTTCCCAGTCTTGTCAGAATAGTAATTGTCCAACTCCCTCCTCTTGCAAGACTCCACTCAGAAAACAGGAACCCAGAGGATAAGGTAGAAGATATAATGTAAAAGACAAATAGAAGTCAAAGGGGAAAAATATTTTCCACAGGGGGCTGGCCCGGTTGCGTAGTGGTTAAGTTCACACGCTCCACTTCCGTGGCCCAGGGTTCACAGGTTTGAATTCCAGGCACGGACCAAGGCACTACTCATCAAGCCATGCTGTGGCGGCGCCCCACATACAAAATAGAGGAAGATGGGCACAGATGTTAGCTCAGGGCCAATCTTCCTCACCAAAAGAAAAAAAGAAAAAAAAATATTTTCCACAATATTGTGAGAGACCATTATGTTACTTCTGAAGATGCTCTTGGGAAATAAATGGGAATTAAGAAACGTGGAGTAAAATCCATGGAGAGCGCAGTTTGAGACAATAGACCTTTGAGCTGATCTGGATTGATTTTTCCTTAATCATCATATAAATTTTATGTTTTCATGAAAAAGAGAACACCCTACTGCCCAGACAAATGTGCCTTTCTGATGGCAAGCACCAGCATGGGGACGAGCAGGATGGATGTTTTGGGCTCCCCTCTGCCATGGGTCAGCAGAGGCAGGATGCTAGGAGCTTATGCATTATCCCACAGAATCTTCACAGCAGTCCTACAATGCTGTGATGCTACTATTATCCTCATTTTACAACTGATGAGACTAGGACAGAGAAAAATAAATAGGATATTACTTTTTTTTTTTAGGATTTCTTTTTTTTAGCAAATGCAAGTTTCTAAGGAGCAGAGTTCTGGATCCGTGTTATTATCATCACACTATTCATTAAACCCTCATGCCACCCTCTCCCAAAGGCCACTCCCATCCCCAGGGGAAACATGGCCCCACACTAAGCCCACTCACCTCTACAGACACTGCAGCACTGATTCTCTGGGAGAATGTGATCCTTTTCTGTGCAGTTCAAAGAAGGGCATGCTTCTGTAATTTTTACTAAAACTCCACCCTGGAAGCCAAATAAGAGGGAAAGAAAAAATGTTCATATTTTTAGTCAATGATACAAATGAATAATGCTCATTATTAACAGCCTGCAGTGATAACAACCTACAATAGTTCACAGTGCTCCTGGGAATTCCATAATAATGACGAAGCCACAAATTAAATTGTTGAGACTCTGGAAGAGAAGGCACATTTCCCTTTCTATATCAAAAGAGCCTCAATTTCAGCAAATGGTTTTTGAGTATCTTCTATGTAACAGAACGTCGCTAACAGTGGTGTGCTGGTAAATTTTTAACAGTTGACTGTTGGATGGGGGAGCTGTAATTTGTAGCATTTGCTGATTTCTATGGTGTAAATACCCCGACAATGACTGATTTTGAACTACCAACATGATATCATTGACCACAGAGCTGGGGAGTTATGTACAATGAGCTCTCGTGAGCTTTTATGAGCCAATATTGACACTCCCTTGGACCACAAGCACTGTGAACCCAAAGATAAATAAGACATCTTCCTTGCCCTTGATGAGCTCAAAGTTTGGATGGAGGGGAAAAAAATCGCTGTAACTAGAAACCATAATACAGTACAGTTAAGTCCTAATAAATGTGCTCTACTTAAGGTATGATGTATCATGGGGGAATAATTCCACCCAGGTGGGGAGAAATTATGAAGAAGATGTCATATTTGAAGGGACTTGAATAACGGAATAAGATAAGGAAGAAGAGATTTTCCTGGCAATGGAAACAGACAAGAACCAAGGTGTCTAGGTGTGAATGAACTAAGGATAGTTAGATGAGCACTAGATTTTCCCTTGACATCAATAAGATCACTTACAATAAAATTTTTAAAATTCAGCAGGTGAATCTTTATGACCTCACTTCACCAAAAGTCCTCTTTGTTGACATAACTAGCATCTGTATTTAGTTTTACTCTGAATTTTAAAAATTAGCCCATTAACTACTATAAAAAAAAGAGTTTAAAACTTTTCTATTTTACCTACAGTGTTAAGTTTTTCTCTCCCATTCCTAAGAGGATGGTTAAGTCAACCAAGAAGCAAGCTTGTGAAGGGGAGTCTCATTTAAGGCCGAAAGGTAATTCTCAGCATAGATGGGAGAAAAGGATGGAGCTGGGCAGCCAAGAGGGTTGGGCAAGATACTGTTTTCCATCTTCAAGAGACTATCACAGTCCTCTGGTTTGGCAGGAACTCCCGCTATATCAGGCACATCCATTCTTAATTTGAACATAAACATAACTTTAAATGTCAAACAATTTCCAACTACTCATCTTTTGGATTATTTATACCATGGCTTCTTCTCCTTTCTCATAAGATTCCGCCCAGACAGTCCAGCCTCTAACACCATCTTGTCTTTTTTTCTTGTCCTGGGCTTTTTATTTCCCGACCTATCCCAAGGTATCTAGCTCTCTTGCTTTTCTCCTGACTCTGGCCCCAAAGTCTGAGAACTGATTCTGCTCCTTACCCTCTGTCCCTCTATTCAGCTACATTCCATTCTAACCCTTCCATCCAGGTCTCCCTGGGGGGCACCTAGCCTCAAGAGTTAGCAGCAATCCTAAGGCTAGCGTGTCTATCAGTTGGACCTTAGTTTCTGCTCAGGGAATCACACCACTTATTACAAACCAATAGATGTTAATAACCTTATTATCAGCAGCATAAGCTAAATGCAAAGGAAAACAATGCTTATTATTTACCATTATGGCCTCTACTTCTATCCTTCAACGTTAATATATTTGTTCATTATCTACTGCCTCCTCGCACAAATGAGAGTGGCAGACACTGTTGGACCTCTTTTATCAGTTCTGTGTGCCCATCCCCCAGCTTCTGAAGGCTTTGCTGTTAAAGGTTCATCCCTGCCACCCTCAGATCGTTGCCCTTGGGCACTGGAGCCACTTGGCCAGTGAAGAGAGCCAGAAGTTACCTGTGAGTTCTACGTACCCCACCCCCATAGCCTGAGCCAGTGATAGACAGGCATGGAAAGCTCTTTAGCTTGGAGGGAGAAAACAGGTGAGGTAATTTCCACTCCAGAACCCCTCGTGGGCTAAGGGTATGGCTAGCCTTTCACCTAAAATCGCACCCTTGCCCAGCTCCTTGCCCTTCCTATCCTGCAGCCCCCACACCCTTACTGGTCTCTCCTGGGAGCATCACTTTAATAAAATCACTTGTACAGAAATCTTTAACTCAGGTCTGCTTCTGGGAGAACCCAAACTATGACAATAAGATAAATTTCACCCTTACGGTCAAAAATCAAACTGTTAAAAACGATTATGTTTAGGTGGTAAGATTCTGGAATGATTTCTATTTTCTTCTTAAACTTTTCCCTTATTTTCCGAAGTTTGTATCTTGGGTATGTATATGCTTTTAAAAAAAAAAATACATATTAAAAATGCTACAGAAGACTTTTTTTTTAAATAATCACTCATGAAGGGTTCCTTTTTATAAAAAGGGTTTGCTTTGACTGCTGATTAAATCAGTCAACAATTCCAATCAACCTTTAACGTATTTAATGAGTAAAATCATAATTCCAAATGTTTAAATAGAGACAAACCCCTTGGCATGAATTTGAAAATAATATGAACTGTGATTACAGTAACATAAGTGCCACCAAATACATTTAGTCCAGACACATAATTAGGCACAAACCTCTTTTAACTTTATTTTCAAACTATCTCCAGTATGAAGTATCTGATGATTAACATTTTTAAATCCTCCTGATTATGGTGTGTTATTTTGTGACCCCTGGAGCTCTGTGGTGGTGGAAAAATACAGTTTCTTCCATTCTTTCTCATTTAGAGCAACTGTCTCCATGTCACTGGTCAAATATAAACACTTTCAAGTTCTTTACTAATCACTGTGCCTCAACCTGAATTTCTAATAACATATAAAATTCACATCCTTAAGTCAAAAAATTGTTGCTGGCCTAGAGAAATGTTGCAGGGCAGCAATAATTGGACAAAGTTGAACAAGACTGCTAGGAGAATTTATTCATCTTGATTTTTTACAAACAATATGTTAACTTCTAGAAATACTTGGTGACAATATTTTAAACCAAGAGTTTGTTTCTTGTCTAATTGGTGTTGCTGAAGCTTTAAAATGATCCCAGGAAAATGGAAATAGATAGATCTCCAGGCAGCATTTGTCAACTGGGAGTCTGCGAATCACAGAACACAGAAAATTATCCGAGTACTTATTTGCTCAATCCTCCCAAGGATAGTACCTAGGTAGTACCAATTCAGATGCCTAGGGGAGAAGTTAATTCATTACATACAACAGGTACCACAGGGCATTAGGGCTTCAATCTTGAGAAAGGCTGCCCAAGAGAGCCCCGAGTCCCCCATCCTACACCCGTCACCCTCTCTCCCTGCTGACAACATCCATTCAATGTGTCCCAAGGCTCTTCTATGGCCTTTTAGAAATGCTACACTTTATCAAGGGAATCAATGAGCCATGGCCTGACCAATCTGGTATTCTCAGATAGACTGAAAAGTGATCATTCAATCCTCCTGAATCTACCCTTCTAAAAATCAGAAATGAGAATTATTTCCAAGTATGTCTAACGCCATCAGGAGGCTAAGAGAGGAGCCGGTGGAGACAGACCACACAAGTTCAGATCCCAGCTAGCCCATTTACTAGCCACGTGACTGTGATCTTCTGTGCTTCGATTTCCTCATCTATAAAATGAGGATAATAATAGTACCTACCTCATAGGGTCATTATGAGGTTAATATGAGATAATATGTTTAAAATGACTTAAATGGTGTCTAGAAAATACTAAGTGCTCAAGAAATGTTAAATTTTATTGTCAATGACGCTTCTCTGTATACAAAGTAATCATTTAGTAAATATTATATAGAGACAAAAAATGAAAAAATTAATGACTTTTTAAGAGGACAAAATTATTCAAATGCACCCATATGCATGCAGGCACGCATGCATGCATACACACACACACGACTTGTGCAAAGAGAATAACCTGTCTGCCCCAACTGCTTTCTAAATTGTAAAAACATAACAACAAAAACAAAAACAGTAAAAGATGAAGCAAAGTAGAGCACCTACAGTGTGCTAAGAACAGTCGTAAGTGCTACTCCAATAAGCCGGCATTTAAACCCATGCCCACGTCTTCTAGAGGTCTCTAATGGCATCTGCCTTATCCTCTCTGATGACACCAGAGATCGAGTCATAACCGTGACCCTTGCCAGAGTCACCCACTGTTTCTGCTCAAATGTAAAAGGGGTTGCTAGTTGTAAGTGACAGATACATGACAGATACTGGCATCATCAGCAGAGTTGACAAAACTGCTTTAGCCATCCCAGCTTCCTCTGAAGTGGAAGAAAAAAGTAAGAGTTTTAGAATCCAAAACATTTTCCCTCCCCTAAAAGTAAAACAATTTACAGAGAACATGACAGCCATCTTATATTCAGGGAGGACATGAGTGGTCATGTAGAATAAGAAAAATAGCTCACATTTAGCGAGGGCTTCCTTTGTGCCAAGTACTCTACCAAGTTCTTCCCACGCTCCATCTCATTTAATCCACCCAACATCCTCATGTGGTAATGTCCCAGCCCCAGGTTGGAGACCACCCCACCAGCTCCCCCACTCCCATGTCTGGTCGCTTGCCTTGTCGATCAAGAGATCATAGAGCCCTTGCTGTCACATCATCCCTGCCTCTGCCACAGACTAAGGAGCCCCTACGCACAGCACCCACTAACGCAGAAAGACCACCACATCTGCATACCCACCAGACTGTCTGGACCCATGGAATCTCTGGCATTCCTAGGGGCAGCCAAGAAAGAGGGAATGGGAAATACAATACTGAAGTTCAACAGAGTCAACCCCTGGGGTACATTCTGGCCAAAGAGAGACGGGAGACAGGAAAGAGCCTTCCTCCCCCCAGAACCCCATAAAGAACTGGATTCAAGCTCCTTGAGAGCTTCTGCAGGTCTCTAAATGCCTCATTCTCCTCAATCTTTAGACTACATTTCTTTATTTTCCCTAGGGGTATGATGCAAAGCAAATGAAATAATGTAGGTACAAGCTCTTGCAAAAACGATCTATTCTGAGACACAGTGGTTACAGTCTTCTTTCTGGAGATGCCCCACAAAGCCAGCTGTGCTCTGTGATGCTCCACCTTGTATTTGCTCTCCCTCCTCTCCTTCCTTCCCTGTCTCTCGCTTTTGCATTCCTGGTACAGCACCTCACCCAACCAACTGCGTGGCTACCTCCCACACTTTATCCAGCACTTGGTTCAAATATTACCTCCTCAGCAAGGCCTTCCCAGACCACCTACCCCCATCCCAAAGCTCTCTATCCCTTCAGCCTGCTTTGTATTTTTTTATAGACATCAGCATCATATTGTATATTTATTTGTTTATTTTCTTCTTGTATTGTCTCCCCCCTAGACTGCAAGTTTTATAAATACAGGGGCCTTGTCTTGGTCACTGTTGTCCACTAAGAATCTAGTACAATGCTGGTATGTAGCAGGTGCTCAATGCATGTTTGTTGAGTGATTGCTGATTGAGATCTATGGTTCTACACATGTTATTTCAAGAAATACATGGGAGGGGGCAGGCAGGAGACAGAGGCAGTCTAACTTTATACCAGAAACTTGGGAGTAGGGATGGCACTGTCACAGCTGGGGTTACATACTGATTCTCCCAATGCCAACTCAAAACCCTTTCTCAGGGCCACCTGCCAACCTCCCTGACTCACAGTGGCTGCTAGCTGTCTTTCCCTTCTCAGATCCTTCCTTTAATAGCTTTCCACAAGGTCACCTGGTCCTTAGCTGACCACAAGCTAACCACACAATGACAGTGGCTGAGACCTCCCCATTCTGGACTCCAGCCCACCACAGAGAGTCCTTCCCCTCAGGGATCCACTCAGACCAATATGCTCCACTCCAGAACCCTATCTAAAGCCCACAAATCTATCTGTTAATTCCCCACAAGACTGAAACTTACTCGGCATTCCCGACAGCTCTTGGTTAAAATCCGCTGGCCTTCTGCAAGGACTTTTCCTCCATAGATACATTTTGCTGTAATAAAACAGAAAAATGGGTCAGATAGTTATGCTATGCAACAAAATGACCTCAGAGCTGCCATCCAACTCCCACAGATTCCACCGAACATAGATTCTCTGATTTTAAGCAAAACAAATCTCTTTGTCTAGAGTAAGACATGGGAATAGTGAGGAGACCACTGTAGAATCCTCGGTCATACCACCATCTTGATTATGTTTGCCATGAGTCCTTCACATCAAGGATACACAATTATTTCAATATTGCACTTGCCAAAGGAACTAGAGTATGAATCGATGTGGTGAGAACTTAAACCAAGGAAGAAGTGGCTGTCATCTCCATGGAGTACAGTAACAGTAGCTCTGATTCAGACACCCAGACATAAAGTGAATGACTGGGTGAAAAGGGACTCATAGACATTCCATTCATCAGAACCTCAGTCACAATGCAGAAAGATGCCTTTTTTCCTTGTAATCATGGGAAGTGCGTGTCCTTAGCCTATCTGTTCCCTAGAAGCTCAGAGACAACTCAGAAATACAAGCCAAGCCAGTAAAATGCTGTATCAATGCACTAGAGAGATGGCCTTTGGAAAGGTGAGCTTAGCAGGCTGATAGGGAGGACGTGGAGTAGAGACAAGCCTTGTAGAAAAGTTCAAAGAGAAGCATAAATAGAACTCCCACCACTCAATTTAGATTCCACTGGGACTCAGTCCTCACTCAATTTAGATTCCAACTTTCTGACGCACTTTCAAGCAAGTGCAGAATATGTTAATTTGATATGACTCTAATGCATCTCCACCAAATTCTCCAGCCACATCAACAGGAACACGGAAGCAAAGGCCTGATGGCTCGCTCTCCTGCACAATGAGGATCCTTCTAGCCCTAGTCCTCAGGAGAAGCAGAAGTGAAGACATGCACTCTAAGAGATAAAACCACCTCACCTCTCAGAGTCTCCATTTCTGCATCTGTTAAAAAGAGGTTAATTAAATTTGGTAGTCTCCTACTTCTACAATCTTCTGACTCTCATGCAGTGTTCAAGTATGTCAGGACCTTAGCAATCAACTTATCAACTCCCTCTTGTTAGCCACAGGAAGAGGAAAGCCCACAGACACTGGTTTATTTAACATCATGACCCCAAAGTGGATGCTGTGGTGTGCCACCCAGATCCCCCTCCATGGCCAAAGGACACATTCCTACAGCTGCTGGGACAGTTGATGCCCAATAGCTCTCAGTTGAACAGTGATCTAGGACTTGTCCTTCTATTCAGGCTCTCTTCAGCCACCTTGCCCAGGGTCAAGTCCCCTTCTTGGAGCAGCCCCATCCAATGAGTGGTTGATAAAGTTAGTACAAAGTCCTGGCCCTTTGCCCCAACTCAGGATAACTCTGAAAGGTCATTCCAGCTCCAGAACTCCCTGTAGAAATGAGTGAGGTATTTGTTGTAACTGCATTGCAGTTCAACCTCTCCTTCTGCCCATTTCTGCTTCCTTTGCTATCTCACTCCCACCCTAGAATTGATCCAGACAGAACTTCCTAATAAGGCACCAGCAAATCTCCATTACTGACTCTGTTTCCCCTCAGAACCTGCAACAACCCACACCTAACTCAAATCTGTTCCACGCTACTATCTACTCTCAGTCAACGGCACCAGTATCCACCGTACCACCCACACCCCACCACCCGGGGTCCCTCTAACCTCTGACTCTTCTCAACCCCATTCCGATCAGTATCCAAATGCTAGCAATGTTCCCTCCTTAAGTTTCTCAAATCAACCTACTTTTCTCCACTCCCTACCACCTGCCCCAGATACTACGTTTGTTCAGGCCATCACCAGCCCTCCTCTTTAGTCTACCAGAACTTCCTAACTTGTCTCCCATGTTCTGGTCTCAATCTTATCCAGTCCTTCCCCATACAACAGTCAGACATATTTTGTTAAGTGCAAACGTGAGGCCCTGCTTTATAATCACTGTGGCTCACTAATGCCCTCAGAATACTGTCCAAATTCCTTAATTCAGCACACAAGGCCATTCACGTGGCCTCGCCTTATCTCTTAAGCTTCAGGCTCACCGGCTCACCAATTCCTGTGCATTTACTCCCCCTCCCAAACATTCACACTTCCACATGTACTCTAGCCATGCTTGCTCTCTTGTTCCAGGATTTGCATACACTGTTCTCTTTTCCAGGAACGCTCAGCCTCATCCACCTTTCCCTGGCAACCTCCCATCCTATATACCCACCAGCTTCAACTTAGGCCTGACTTCCTCCAAAAAAGTTGTTCTTGACCTCTAACACTGGTGAACTGCCCTCACTTTGAGTGTCTGCTGTACTCTGGACCTAGCCCTAACAGAATACAAATCACGCTTTATCTCAGTTGCCCATTTCATTACAAATCTCTCCTGCAAACTGGAACCTCCATGAGGGTAGGGACTACGTCTACTCATAATTTTATCTCCAGTCCCAAGCTCAGTGCCTCTCTGGGCTTATTGTTAGGAACAACAAATTACTTTAGAATTAATGAGCCTCTGGTTGGTAGCAAAAACCAGTCAAATTTCTTGATTCCCAGATAAGAGTTCTTTCTGCCCTTCAGTACGATTTCAAACATTAAAAGCAGATACCAACGGTTTCTGAATAAAAACACCAAAAACAATAACAAAAGACTAGAGAATCAATACAATTTTCTAGATAGGCCTCTTCCTCCCTTCATTTAAAAAAATAATAATTATCCCTGATCATCTTTTATGCCTGAATTTTCTAGACAAATCAGTTGACCGTGACTCATTGGACCTAATGATGGTGTAGACTTCCCACTTCACTTGCACGGGTAGACTACACCTCCAAGGGCCTGGAATTTCTGTCTAATAAACTCCCATACTCCCAAACGCAGCTGCCGCCAACTTGCAAAGACGGCTCGCTCCAGAATGACAGTTCTGCTAAATGCACTGCTGTCCAATCTGCCATCTGCTTCTTGACGCAGGCTGGGAAGCAAAGAAATAGACTTTTCTCCCTCATTTTGCCTCTTGCCACCCCCACAATGGAATGAGCACACTTGCTACCCTGTCCTAAAATGTTCATCTGATTCCCCTCTTCCTCTCCCAGACTCCCCAGAACTCCTATCTGGAGAAAGGAACGTCTGCTTGTTTACATTCACACCACACACAGACACACAGATATCCCTCAAACCCACCTGTCTGGTATAAAAATTAAATGTCCACTGAACTTTATTCGCCCCCATAGCAGGGTGTTTTGAGGGGCTGTGAATGATATAAACATGATACCATGTTGCAGGCCTCAGCCGTTCACAGCCTCGGCACTGGTGCAAGACGTGTATATGATCACAGTATCAAGTATCTATGAAATCATCTTAGGACAACTTTCAGGATTGCCACTGGAGGTCACAAGAATTCACCCTGCTGTCTCATATCTACCCTGCTTCTCTGACAGTGCCCCTCATTCCCTGCCACTGCCCTCCATATGCCTAACATCACTCCTCATTATCCAACCCCTTGATCTACAGCCAAAAGGCTTATTTTCGATGTCTGAGGAAATTCAAGCATAAGGTGAGTCGGGCTCCAGTGCCTCTGGCTGGGGCATTTGGGACTCCACTCCAACAGCTTTCAGTATGAGTAGAAATGTAAATGGACCCCTGAAGCCCTTCATATCACACTGGGGACATGCAAAGTAGAATATTTCACAGTGTCCGACCATGAAATTGAAACCCGGCACCAACACACACTTCTCCACGATGTCAGAAACAAGTGTCCTGGGATCCAGAGAAATAGTTATGCAGTTCTAGCTTTTTGCACCCACAGACATCTGGCCCTTCAAATTTGGACCTGATTTCTCTATTGTAATGACTGGACACTTTGCCATTTGGCTGCACACTGAATAAACAACTGAGAGGTATGAGTTGGCCCCCTGTCAGATGTGGACATGGGGTTGCTCTGTCTTTATTTAGGTATTTGTGCCCTGCACACACTCCAGCCATCCCTTGGCACTCAGTGCCTTAGAATATCAAAATCAGCACTCCGTATTACACTTTAAAGGGAAGTGGCAGATCGGGAAGACTGAACAACAGCCCAAGGATCCTTCCTCCCTCAGTGAGCTCATTCACAGATCTGGCTTCAGACACCACCTCTCTGAGCAAGACGCCCACATCAGGCTGGTTGTCCCTCAGGCATCTCCAACTCACGTACGCCAAACAGAACGTGTCGCTCCCCGAACTACTACTTCAACCTGCCATATTTCTGTTAATCACACTATGAGTCTCCCCGGGCTCTTGTTCAAAACCTGGCAACTTCTCCCTTACAGACACTCTGTCCCCGATTCATCTGTCTCAAGCAAAAATATGCCTATGGAGCACCCACCATGCGCGAGGTCTTTTGGCTATCCCTCACGTCCATCCCTTCCTTTTCATCTCCCCGGGCAGTGCCTGCCTGCCAGTCTCATCACCTCCACCTGGAATATGCCTGAATCCTATACCCGGACCCTGCCTCCAGCTCCTGCAATCCAGCGGCCTTTGTAAAAGTGCTTCTTTGATTATGCCACCACCCTGCTTTAAAATCTTGCTTTTCTGTACCCAAACTAACGCTGTGTTGACTTCCATGATTTTGCATGTACGATTCCCTTTGGCAGGTGTGTTCTTACCCACCTTGTCCACATGGCAAACTCCTATTCATTTGTCAACACCCTACTCAACTGTTACTTCCCCTATGAAGTTTTCCCAGCACACACACATGCACAAGTTTCTGATGGAGCCAATCACTCCCTTCTCTGGGCTACCTCTGCATCTTACATGGTGCACGTGTTACATGATCCTCTCTGCTGTAACGAGATGGCACACGCATCTCCCTGGACAGCACAGGTAGAGGAGACAGGTTAAGAGTATCAGCTCTGGAGCCAGACTTCTTGGGTTTTATTTTGGCTCCACCAAGGCTGAGAGACCTTGGACAAGTTACTTCTCCCCTCTGTGCTTCACTTCCTCATCTGTAAAATGGGGATAGCAGTGGAGCCTATGACTTTGAGTTGTTGGAAGAATTAAATGAATTAATACATATAAAAGGACTTAACACAGTACCTGACATAGAATGAATGATTTATATGTGTCCGCTGTTGTACACAGAGGCAAGGACAGTGTTTGGGAGAGGAGCCTCAGTAAGGATGACTGAATGAATTCAATGGAACATCATCATCATCATTCATCCCCAAGCCACCTATGCCTTTATTTCTACTCCTAACCCACAAAAGCCCTCTGTTACCATCAAACAGACTATATCCCTTTCCCTCTGCACCTCTCTTCCTTTGTGAATGCTGTTGTGCATAGCTGAAGATTCCCTCTCCATCCTCCTCCCTCTAGCCCATCTCTGACAGCTCTCCAATCTGTCCACTGAAAGAATACAGAATCCAGGACACCGCTGCCTGGAGATTCTGATTTAGGAGGTCGGAGAGGGGCCCTGGGAATCTCTAGTTTAAGAAGTTCACTCTTAAATAAAAGCTAGGTATGTCCAGTGCCTTGAATAGAGCAGACACCCAGCAAATGTTTGAGGAATGAAACTCCCACACCACTTCCTGGACTGCCATGCCCACAGCTAAGGAATCTAGAAGGTTTTCCTCAGCTTTCCCTGCTACTTCCCAAACAGAGAGAAGAACATCCTAGTATCAGGCCCTGATACCTCCACCATGAAAACCCCTTCCTCCTGGAGATGACCTGAGTGTCTGGGCCTTTTGATCAGAATAGGACCAAGTACTTTCCTTAGGCAATGAACTGAGACGTGGACACTTAGACAAGGTTCTTTGCTGTTTCTAGACAGATGCCTCATCCACAAGTGCTGCAGCTCCTGAGGCCATGACAAGTGCACGCACACTCAAGAAGTCAGCAGACAACCCGATCAGCTTTTATGTTCTGGTTCCTTTTGCCTGAGTCAGGTCAATACCTTTCCTCCGAGTCCCTAAAATACTGCCCCACCCAAATCCAGAGGGTAGCTTAGGAGATTTTTTCTGAAAGGGACAATCAAAATGAATAGTCTCCATCCTTTCTCTGATGTGAAGATATCTGAAGAGTTCTAGAAATTATATCAACTAATATTAGAACTCTGCTGTAGCAAACCTCATTCCCTTCTCCTCCGCCCCACTGCTCAACCTGCCACAGTCAACTTCCAGAAGGCTAGAAATATGTAGCTTGGCTCCCCTTGCTCCAGGGAGCATCCAGGCCTACTACCAATGTCCTCCCCCCAGTCCCATGGCTGTTCTTCTGCTCTAACAGTGCCCCGTCCACACGCCCAGTGTGACCACACTCACAATTCTGGACACTGGAAATCATGTCTCTAACTTGAAAGTGAGCCCTCTGAAGCAGAGAGCTCTTTACCACTATTCCAGGATCCAGCACTCAGTAACTGCCTACTGCATATTTCTATTAAAAACTAGTAAGAGGGGTTGGCCCAGTGTCGTAGTGGTTAAGTTCACGCCCTCCGCTTCAGTGCCCAGGGTTCATGGGCTCGGATCCTTGGTGGGGACCTACACACCACTCATCAAGCCATGCTGTGGAGGCATCCCATATAAAGTAGAGGAAGATGGGCACAGATGTTAGTCCAGGACCAATCTTCCTCAGCAAAAAGAGAAGGATTTGCAAGGGATGTTAGCTCAGGGCTAATCTTCCTCACAAATAAACAAAACAAAACAAAACAAAAAATAGTAAGAAATGAAAACCGTCTAGGCCAGAGGTACTCAACCTTTTAATTACCACTGGTGCCTCGTATCGTTTCTTTTTAAGAGTTTTTTTTTTGAGTAGTGGTCTTAACAATTTATTTGTATCACCATTTTATTAAACTATAAATATATCAAACTACCAGTCAGAACTGCTGGGAAAATTAGTGCTACCTAGCCAAATTGCTAAGAATTCCAAACAAATGCAAAAAACAAACTGATGTTTTAGTTAGCTTGTGTATCAGTATCTTGGTAAAATTGGGTACCTTTCTGAAATACTTTTAAAATTTAAAACTCTCAAATGAATTATAATAAAGAAAAATGACTATCGCACAGACTTCCAGTGAGACCACAGTTTGATGATATGTATCAGGGTCTTGAAAATGTCGGTTTACTGGCCCAATAATTCTACTCTGGAGAATTCTATCTTAAGAAAATATAAAATACAAAAATGTATTTTCTCTATAAAACATGTTATTGAAGAGTAATTTATACTAATGAAATATGGGAAACAACCTAGATATCCAACAACTGGGGAATGATCAAATAAGTTATGCAACAGCCAAACAACAGAACACTATGAAGCTTATTAAAACAAGGTTTACACAGTTTTCAAAAACACAGTAATACACTTAAGTGATCATGGTAAGTCTACAAAGCAGGGTAAAAATTATTTGTACAATAAAATCTCAACTGTATACAAAATATAAATTAAAAAAATGAAATTAAAATTTCAAGACTGGTTGTTTCCAAGTGGTAGTATTTCCAAGGATGGTGCCCTTCTCTGTGTTTTCAAATGTCACACAAAATAAGCACAATGCTTTTATAATTAGAAAAAAAATCTAAAGGTTAAAACACGAAGCAGCTGAAGGATTCATCTACCGCCATGTCCAAACAACAATTTCTGAGAGACAGCATTCACAGATCTGGCCAGGGCACTCAAAATAATGGATTAAAAATCTCATATTTTTTAAACAAATTCCTAATAGTTTTTCAACTTTTTTCCTCTGCTATTATATAGAATATCAAGATTAGAAAAATTAACCTGTACCTACTTGCAACTATCTTTCCATCGTGGAATCAAACTATAATGTCAACATTGGGGCACTTAAGCTATCCATATTGCCAGACATGACTTCCAAAAGTGTTTGGAACAGAAACAAGAAAATTCTCTTTTTAGATCAACTCCAAGTACATTCTCCTGAGAAATGGGTGTACTGTGCCAACCTCGAAAAGAAGAAATATTTCAAAGTTCCTTTTGAAAGAGTTCAAAGATCTGAGCAGGTGTGACCAGACCAACTATCCCCATCTCCACTGCCATATTAGGTGACATGCTGTTCTTAGTAAAAAGCTAGACCACTGTGTTTTGAAAACCTAATGATGTTGGTAGTTTTGGGAGGAGAAATGATCTTGAAAATTATCCATAGGATGCCACATTTCTAACCTAAACTCTCCTTTTCTACAGAAGATATATGGTTTAATGAAGACTACAGGCCTTGTAGTCAGAACTAGTTTTATCTCTCACCTTTGCCACTCACCAGTCTTGGTAAGTTAACTTCTCTAAGCCTAAGCTCCCTGTAAAACAGGGATGATAATAACCCCCTCTAGAGGGCTGCGGTGCGGATTCAATAAGCTAACAGAATTAAAGCACCTAGCATAGTAACTGACACCTACCAAGCATTCTAAATGACAGTTTTGACTCTTACTGCTTGTCTCAAGGTTCATTTCACTATTTCACTTGAAATAGTGCCCTTTGCAATACAGAGGAAAAAGGATTTTTAAATCATTGTAGAACTTGGACAAGCCAACTTTGAAAGAAATTGTTTCAGTATTTTAGCTGAAGTTCATCCTGAAATTCCTAACAAGGCCTTTTAATGACAGGAAATCTGACCAAGACCTCAGAAAACCAAAACACAGAATTTGGCCCTTACCTAGATCACCGAGAATGAGGGGACCACAGCACATGGAGCTCTGGAGTCTTGACTCTACAGATCAATCCCCCATTACCAGCTGTTGGACCCTGGACAAGTGACTTAATCCCTGTGAACACCAGTTCCTTCTACACAGAATGGGAAGAATTGTAATTATGGTTGATGTGAGAATTTTATTTTAAGAAATAGCCTAGGTAAAGTGTCTGCCACATCAGAGGTGATTAAAATATAGCAGCTCTTATCACACATTTAATAGTACATCAGGGCCAGCCCCGTGGCTTAGCAGTTGAGTGCACGGGCTCCGCTGCTGGCGGCCTGGGTTCGGATCCTGGGCGCGCACCAATGCACCGCTTCTCTGGCCATGCTGAGGCCGCGTCCCACATACAGCAACTAGAAGGATGTGCAGCTATGACATACAACTATCTACTGGGGCTTTGGGGGAAAAAATAAATAATTAAATAAATAAAATTATAATAGTACATCAAATGCTGGTGCTTTATTTCATCCATGTTAATCAGTTGGGGCTTGAAAAATAGAGGGAAAATATAAATCTCAAAGCACAAAGGGCCACTCTGACCCTCAGTCAGTACTTACGTCGGCAGACCTTACAGCACTGGCCGGTAATGTGCACAGGGAGCGAGTCTGGGGAGCAATTGAGAGGGGGACAGGACATCCTTCGGCATTCCACAGCACCACTCTGAGGAAGGAAAGACAGGGAAAGGAATCTCACAAGTGCCCTTTGAAAGTTCCCGTTGCGGAAAAAGCTCCCATCTCATCCCAGAAAGCTCATCAGGGAGACAGAAGCAGTGTGAGGAATTCCCAGTCCACTCCAGGACCACAAATGAAGTATTTTCTCCAGCCCGAATGAACCCGGGCCACCTCAATTACTTTTCTGATATACATCACTGGCTTCACTCCACCTGCCCATGAGGGCTAAGCAGATTAGGCAGAAAACAAAAAGCCTATTTTCACAAGAACATAAATAACACCTTTTGCAGACCCTGTCAATCATTGCTGAGGCTCTAACAATCTATTTTGTATTTTCCCAGACAAACAATGGCATTCTTCAGATGTTTATCAAATAATTTCAACTGGGCAGGGTCTACATACTAATTTTGGGCATGCTCTTGTAATTCTCTAAAAAAAGACGGAGTATACAAATGACGGATACCCTTATGTGGGGAGGAGAGGTGTCGTGCAGTTCTCTGAAACTGATGATGGATAACTTGTAAAATACTACGAAAACACCCAGACACTGATTAAACCCCTTTTTAAAATTTACTTTAGCAGAGAAAAGTTGTGAATGAAGCTAACCATTAGGTTTTACAGAAACCAAAGGAGTCCCTCCCTCGCTCTGACACTCCAAACTCCAACCTCCAACCTCCAACCTCCACACAAGAAGCTTCTTCATAATGTTAGATCATATTAGAGCGTGTTATCCAGGGAAAGCAGATTTTAATTTCCATGTGTTTATATATATAACGAAGCTCTTCCTTCACAATTGCTCAGAGTACTAAGTAGGCACTTAGTAAAAAGGTAATCCTTCTTGGAGTTGGCATTATTATATTAAAGAGCCAGATGACACAATAACTAGTGAAACGGTCCCCCTAGATCTGGTTTTGTTGTATTTATTCACAAAGAGCCTTACTCTGCATGTGCAGTTCCTGCAGTGATCGCCATCAACCCAGGAGTCTTGGTCTCTGTAGAGCAGTCCACTCACTTGACATGTCTTCTCGCAGTGGCAGTTTTCCAATTGACTAAGTCTTGTCTCTGCATAATTTAGCTGCGAACAAGAGTTACTAGATGTAATTTCTGTAATTCGATTGCATTGTCCTAACAAAGCTAATAGCAACAAGAAAAAAAAAAATCCAAGTAGGAGGAGGAAAAAAAAGCTAGAGCAGCTCACTGATTCTTAGCCAGATCTGTTTTTTGAGTTTTGTGTTTTTCTGGTTTTTTTTTTTTGTTTTAAACATGAAGTGGAATCATTCTAAATTGAAGACATATCGGCTCCCATGGCCTAATGAGCACCAAATGAGACATTAAACTGTATCTCAGGACCTCACGGGTGTTCATAGACGTGCATGCTTTCAGCTCCAGCCAGGGAAACACTCGTAATGAATGTGTTCTCAAGGACTCATTACAATGTTTACAGGAGATCTAATCCATAACTCCAACTCGCTTACATTTATCTCCCACCATCCTCTCCGTGTTGTTCACACACTAACCTGAGTGTCATGGTTTACAAGCTGGGAAGTCACCGCTTCCTCTCTTATGAAAAATTCTGGGGAAATGGGGTCAGAGAAAGGGCAAGTCATAGGAGGATCTAGTTTTTCCTCAGCTCAGGATCCCCCAAACACAACACCTCAGGAATCCACTTTGGTGTTCAGACAACGGTCAGAAGAGGAGCCAAAGCCCCAATGAGACCAGGATTTTGTAAAAGAAGCTTTTTCACTTTTCTAGGTGACCCGACTGTTTTCATTGATCACAGGATCTTAGAATCTCAGATTTGAAAGGGGTTACAAAGTTGGAATGTCCTCACAAGTAACCCCTTCTAGTGATTATCCAGCCTCTGTTCACATATCTGCAGTAGCGGGACACTCACCTTCCAGGGAAAGCCACTTTTTTGGTTAGCTCTGGATGTTTGAAACGTCTTTCTTGGCTTGAGCTGTGAAATCTCACTCCCTTTTTCCTATAGATCTCGTTTTGCCTTGTAACCCATCCTGAGCAAGTCCAATCTCTCTTCAAACATCTGAGGTTACCCAGTCCTCACGCCCTCTCCCGAGCACATGCAGCACCACCGGGTTCCCCCATAGCTCCTCACGATATGGTTCCAATCCTCTCTCCTGATCACTTTACACGCCTAATCCAGCTCACCTTCAAAAATACAGTGCAAAAAAACTGAACTTTGGTATGATCTCTCAATTGTTTCATCCATACTAAGGAGTAAATCAACCCAGTAGTGATATTACGTTTCTTCCCTTTTCCTTACACAGAGACTGCCGTGATTGAACAACCAACACCACTTCCTAAAAAATCATCAAATAGTTTCTCTTCTCCTTCTCAATCATACTTATACCTCCATGTCTTGAGTATTTTCCCCATATAGAAGATCAAGTCAATCTTTGATCCAGCTAAGACCATTTCAAGCCAATAGTTTAGATACAATGATTGAACCTGGATAATGATGACTCCCACCATCTTTCTACATTAACTATGGTTCCATTTCATATATGCTCCTCTCAATTACTCATAACAGTGCTAGTCTCTAGAAATGGAATACATATGTAATTCCAACTTTGGTTTTGTCACTTATTCCATCCTCTTCCTCTAAACTTTTGGAATTTCTCAAGAAAACATGTTCTTTTTGTGGATGGTACCAAGGGGCAGGGAAAAGAACAAATATGATTGCAGACAAGCCACATACACCATAAGAAGCCCCGAAGAAACTGAGAGTTGACTACGCCTGAAATATTACTTTCTATGACTCCTCCAGTATGCCTGATCTTCCAAAAATTCAGGTTATATTTAATCTCCAGCCTGATCAAAGAGTTCCTAGGATCTATGAGAATTAAGTTCTTTGGGAATTCTTTAAGAAACACAGATAAAATACACTTCCAAGAGTTTGGTGAGGTCAAGTGACCAAAACTATATATAGGTGAGATAAAAGGAAGTGACAATTTAGCACCTATTATCTTGACTTCATTTCTATAGCCCCATTAGTTCCCATGTAACGTAGTGATTGATGTATGACCTTGGATTGAACAAGAAAGAGTTGAACTGGATCCGCACCCCTCCTAAAAGTGGCTCAGAACGGGGAATCTGCTTGTGAGAGGAAATGTGTCTGTCTCACTCTGACAATCTGGGACAATCTTAGCGTCTGTATCACTCCAAGAAGGGAACTTCTTACGGACTAAATGACCCAAAAGGCAATTCTGTCTCCATCCAAGTTTCTTGAAAATTCAGGAGCTTGCCTAAGGGTAATATTGGCAATTTCCAGTACTGTCCAACAAAGCTGAGCTATGCTTACCTACAAAACTCAATTCCAAGGAAAGTCTTCAGTTTTAATATAATGGAAGCTATTCTCAGGGCTGGTTTTGTTTCTCTTCTGAACTTTGTGTTTATTTTTTTAACATATTTAGCCTTTTCTGACAACATGGAAAAGCCCTAATCTCTGTAAAAATAGCAGTGCTTCAGACAGACACGAAGGCAAAGGGATATTAAGGCAAAAAGCTAATTTTTGAAAGGTACTTAATATCTTGCCTTCCTTTCCCCCTGCCAAATCCTGTAGCAACAATAAAGGAGAAAAACAACTCTGAATCAAAAAATGAATTACATTTTCTGTCAGTGGTATTAGCATGCTGAATTTACACAAATTCTTTTTCAAAAGCTATTTCTACACTATCTGCCATTTTCTCCAAGAATGCCTGCAGATCCAAAATAAATATGGTATTAAATCTACATCTCTATTCTATCTTACCTTTGTTCATGCATTTATCTATCTAATCACGGACCAAATCATTTATTTTTAACTCTCCACTGTCCAAGATAGACAGCAGAGGACTTTGGCACGGTAAGAGGTCAATGAACGGATCTGAGTACATTAGTCGTGTGGTGGATTGCTTTTTTGTTCTTTGAAATACTATTTATTTGGCATTTGCTATATGGAAGGGAAAAAGAAATTTTCTATTGTGTTAAACCTTTAAACTTAATTGAAAAATCACTATTGAGCTCCTCAAAACAATGAAAGTCTCAAAATTAAATATGTTACAAGCTGAAATGCCATTTCAAGCGCTGCTCGATTTGCATAAATAGATTTGTCAAAGATTTAAACAGAAAAAATCAAGAAATTCCCAGTCTCCAGCGTCTCTTCTTCCTGAGCTTGAAGGCAGAATGTGATTACAGCACAGGTGGGATGTGAGAGCAGGACAGAGACTCATTCCATCACTATGTCCCTGGCTCAGCAGGTGGGTGGGTCCCACAGTGTCAAGACTACCTGAGAAAGCTTCCAGAGTAAGCCGGGAGACTGGTGGTCTCTAGTGCATCATTTAGGAGAGGCAGCAGGGGACAGCTTCCCAGCACCTTCTCTGCCTTGGAAAAGCATGGTTTTGCCAGGGTGCTTCAAGAGGGCTCTTAGGTACCCTGATCTCTGTTGCCTGAAGGTGCATGCAAGCTGCTTCCATGATCTGTCCTGTACCAAACAAGGGCATAGTCATTCCCCAACACCCGCCACACTGAAAGGAGAAAATGACCACCAAGCCCTCCTAGGCAGACTCCTGGGTTTGATCTGATTTTTGCTACCAACTCCTGCCTAGCTTGTGCACCAGGCTTGCTCTCTGGTTGGATTCCATGGCTTTCACTATGCCCAAAGTATGAGGACTTTCTGCTGCTTTCCAAGACCTCCAGCACCTAGCTCTAGCCCAGGTCCCTGACAGCAACTCTCAAGGAATCTGTCACGGAATAAAACCAAGAATAACTGTCATCATTCTACATATGGGGAAACTGTAGCTGGAACAAGTCCAGTGACTTGTTCCAGGCTACAAACATTCAAGGAAGTGATAAAAACGAGATTTAGAATCAGATCATTCTGATTCCAAAACCCACTCTCTTTCTCTACCATGATCTCTATGAGTAATGCCTATTTAAATCACAGCTGCTGGGCAATTCAAACCAGACCTCCAAACCCATCAGCTCAATCTTGCCACAATAGGCTTATTTAACTAAAGGCAAGCCTGAGTCCAGATGGATTTGGTGTCATAGAATTCTCTCTACACTTAGGAACCATACTTGCCCTCCCATTTGGCTGCTCTCTCCAGACTCTGCCAAAAGGGTAACTCACACTCTGCTTCTGGGAAGATGGCAGAATAGACATCCTGAAAGACTTCAACAATCCAACCAACCAAAATGTTGGATAAAATATATAAGTAAAACCTTTTAAAAATCACAGAGCTGACACAAAAGGAAGAAAGCCACAGTGGCCAAAACAGTGACAGCCAGGGATCTGGAGAGGTAAGTGAGCACCAAAGCAGACCTCCATGCTGAATGTTTCTGCAGAAACATGGAGCCCTCGAGCTCCCACCTGGATGGCTGCACAGGGTGCAGTGGGGAGGAGTTAGAGAACAGAGTCTGGCCAAGATCAAGTGTCTTAAAGGGAACTCCTACATAAAGATGGGGTCCCAGAGGGCTGTACTCTCAGTTTAAGAGTGAACCAAAAGGACACAAGGCTTGCACAGGGCACAGAAAGATCTTCCTGTTCAGACTTGGGCACTGGCCAGAGGGAAATCTCTTCCATGAGATCCCTTACAGAATTCTTTGCTGAGAATTGGCCTGGCCTCTCCTAGGTTTGCAGTCTGATTCTGAGCAGTCTCTGTGGTCTGAAAACCCTAAGGAGGTAATGTCATATAAGATGGCCCTGCGTGCTCCTGGCAGAAGCACACACGATGTGAACCAGGACGCAGAAGATTCCCACATTCCAAAGAAAACAGCAGCTATAACCAAAAGGGTGGTTAAGAGGCCTTGTTCTTGCTCTGACCTTCCCCCTGCAAAAGCGGCTACAAGCTCTGTGCTCACGTCTCCCTCCACCAGGTACCATCTGGACGGCCACTCCTCTTTTTCTCTCCTTGATTTGTTCATCCTTCTTGCTGATATCTCCATCCTCCTGCTGTAGCATCCACCTCCCTCTCCCCAGCAGCCCTTCCTCTATAGCTTTTCTCTTTCTAATTCTCTCTTCTCCAACTACAATCTTTCTCAGTCACGACTCCACTTTCAGAATCTGAGTTTGAGTCCCAGCTCTGCCATCTACTATCTCGGGAAAAGTTACACAACCTTCTTGGAATTCAGTCTGCTCATCTGGAAAGTGGGGTAATAACAACAAGCTCACAGGATTGTTGTGAGGATTAAAAAGTGATGGTGAATATAAAGAGTTTAAGCACTACAACCAGTAAATGCTCAATAAGTACTACCTGGTATGAGTGACTTTCCAGCTTCTTCTAGACGAGGGGTTGACAAACTAAGGCCCACGGACCAAATCTGGCCCCACTACTTATTTTCATATGGCCTGTGAGCTGAGAATGATTTCTACATTTTTAGTGGTTATGTTTTAAATGATTATATTTAAATAAAATAAGTATATACATAATACTCTAAATTTAGCTTCTTGGCCTACAAAGACTAAAATTTACTAGCTGGCCCTTTACAGGAAAAGTTTGCCAACTCCTCTTCTAGATCATCACAGATTCCAAACTGTGCAATGAAAATGGAACTACTCAGTTTTCTAATTATAATTGCATTCACGGTTTGGAAGAAACAGACATAAATCTTCCAAAGGCCCGGGCGGGGTGGGGTTGAAGGTAGATTAAACCATTTTCTGCTTGCAGTTGCCCACAATTAAATATCTTCTGCCTCACAAATGCCCATTTTACATAAAAATGTTTTGATGACAGAGCTCAATGTGGCTCCTAGATAATGTACAACTAAACAGAGAAAAATGTCATTTCCTGCAATAGGCAAGAAAGAGAAAGAAAAGGGCATACTCGAAGCCAGGGAATGGAGAACCACAGTCACCTGAGACTGAGTGGCATGTTTCTTGTTCCAAAAATTCGGTAGTAAGCTGAAATATAATTAACAGTATTGAGATCAAGCTGCTCCAGACAATATGAAATAAAAGCCACTATGTGCCACAAGCTGGGAAGGCAAATAATTGCCTGAGTTTCACATTTCCACTCACTCTGAAGTGGAAAGCTAGTGCTTCAGCTCTCGAGTCTCAGTTTCTTTCTTACTAAAGTGTTCCATCTCTGCTTTCCAGAACAAAGGGAACTTGGCCAAAAAACCTAGTTTGAGATAGAAATGTTATCTTCAGTGGCACAATCTACAGATACAAAATAGAGCTCTACTTCCCAAACACTTACCTACCCACCTGTTTTTTTCCACACGCCAAGGCTGATGACAGGGAGCAGTCATAGCCACAGGTGGAATAGGATTAATATATCATTTTCACTGTTATTAAAATTCTTCCTTTCACAGAGTATAGTGTCTCTTAGGCCCAACCTAATTCTTGCTTCGCCCTAGGCTGGAACTCATGTCCACGACTGATTGGTATCACAACAACAGCATTAGCCACACTTTCTATTTATTCAGTATCTTTCTCTACAAGGCTCAGGGCTTTCCATTATGAATCTAAACTTTATGAATATATATTAAAGCTATAACTTTAATTAAAGCCTAACCATTTACATTTTTGGCTCTGCCACTTGATATGAACATCTCTGGGGTGGAGCATCATGTCTTGTTCATCATTGCCTCCCTTGTGCCTGACACAGTGCCTGGCAAATAGCAGATCCTCAAAAGATTCTTGTTAAGAGGATGATGGAGAGGAGAAAAAGATGCGGAATTATAAAACTGAAGGTGTTGAAAGGCAAACTTTGCCTCCTTCACTACTCAACTCAGGACCAGTCCTGAAATGAATCTTATATTAGAAATATGGTATAATGCCTTCCTGTGACAGTAATCTGTTCCTAACAACAGCTATTTTACCCCTTTTGATTATTGGCAATTATTCTTACATCCAAAATGCATTAGCTTGTAAGCTGCAGTGGCTCTGACCATACATCATCTCACAGTGTTACTAGTTTCATAGCCAATGGGCAAAGTCCTTTTCTACTCCCAGGGAATGTACAGAGATACATATTGCTTCTTCCACACATTTTTCAAGTAAACATTTTGATACAGCCTAATAGTATCAAAGACATAAATAATTATGTTTACTATAGTTAGTCCTATTTCAAGTAAGAATAAACCATTTTATAGTAACATATTGCAGATGTCAAGGCTAAAAATGTTTCCATTATAGCATATCACTCTAAATTCCAGATAGGACGGAAAAAGAAATGAAACATCACAAGTGAAATTTAGGTACCTACTTTTGCAGTCATCTTGGCCAAAAGTTCTTGTAAATCCATTATTCCTTGCACCAGGCTTAAAAAATCACTGCAAGTTGGGCAAGCTCAACAAAGAAAACATAAAGTAAATGTTGATATAGTGCTAATATAAGATGGACATTTCTAAAACAATAGTTGTTTGGCTATGTAGAAGGGTTTTTGCTTTTCTGGTTAAGGGTTACTTTGAAATTGGAGTGAAATCACAGAGGATTTCAGGGCTAGATCTTTTCCTTTTATTATAAAGCAAAAAAGAAAGGAACAGAAAATAAGAACTGTTAACTGAAAAGAAAGGCAATATGACATTTTTAAATTAAAATTAAACCTTTATTTTTATTGAGAGGTGACTAAAAAAATGTGAATCATTATAGAAGAGGAAAAAGTAAATTCACATCCCAGTTAAGAAATTTAAAGAATAGTGTGTGTGTATGTACATGTGTGTGTGTATGTGTATATAGTTACATTAAACATATCTTCTGTATCAATTTACAGAACTAAAACTGTTAATGTAATCTTTTTACCTTCAAAATTCTATAAATAATACATAAGCTTTTTAAAAATTCAAAGACACAGAAGAGTATAGTTATAATATTATAATATAGATAATATGTTCTCTCATTATTCCCTACCACCTCAGAAGTCAACACACAGAAGTTTGTGTGTATCCTTCCTGATGTATTTCTCTGATATTATCAACGTCACATAATTTTAAAAATTCACAAATGCTTTAAGTTGCTACTTACTGCGATTCAGGTTTGGACACTGTGTTATGAATCCATTCGGCATAAAGATGATTTTTCCATCTTGAATGATTCCCTTGATAACAGAAGAGAGAGGTGGCGATCAAGATTATAGTTACCAGTTCAAATGGCTCTTGTGCAGTCACATGCTCTCTACAGGGCAGATTATTTTTTAACAAGACTGATATCCTCATTCAAAAGTTGAGTTGGCTTTAGTCCACACTGAACTACTCCAAACCATGCTCTTCTAGAAACCCTGAAATGTACATTCATCTTGAGAAAGCTATAATCAGTTACCACTGGTTGATACTAAGGACATCATGGCACTAAGAATCCATCAGTAAATGTTCTTAAACTTTCGAACGAAAAAGGCAGTAAAAATTTTCCTCCATGTCCTAGTCATCCTAGAATATTAAATATTGCTGATTTACAGGATGTTGTTTAAGCAGGAGAAAGAGACAATAGAAACATATTAGACTAAAATGTTTTATTGATTTATTTAGTTAAGGAAATAAAATTAGACATGGGAAAAATTTCATAACAATCTTTGCTCTCAGCTAATTGAGTAACATGAGTCTTTGCTGGTGAGTCTTAAGACTAGCTCAAAATTTCACTGTGAGTAAAAGGTGGGCTTTTAATTCTGTAACAGCCTGGAAGAACAGCCTGAATTTAAGAATGTCATTGGGGCTGCCATCTCTCAATGAAAATATTGACTTGGCTTTTGGATTTTTCAAGTTAAATTTCAAGATTCTGTTTTTAGGAGGTTTTTTTCCCCCTTGATTTGATGGAAGAGATATTACAGAACAGATGGAAGATGTGGAAGCTGGTTCAGAATACTGAGCTTAGTTCATAAATAAAATATAGGCTTAAGATAGTGCTGCAAGTCTTTTAGAGGGAGTAGCATTTAACATTTATGTGCTCATTTTCTAAACAGCAGAAGGTAATCAGCATTTGCTGTTTCTGCTTATTATTTCAAGATAAAATATTAATTGGAAATATTAACAGAAATAACAGGATCACAGGACCTCTTCCTCAGAATTAGAAACATTTATTAACCTCTTCCTCTTCGAGGATGATGCAGTGTTTGTGATTACGACAGGAGACAGCCTCACCATGGGGAGGAAGGCCCTGCCACTGCTCCTTAATATGAATTCATGGTCTCTTGCAGGAAATTCTGGGGAGCAATTGATGGAGCACAATCTAAGTGAATCAGCTTCTTCCCGGTATGAAGCTGTTCAGTTTTTCAAAGCAAATTAACTCCTTTGATAGGCCAGGGCACCTTTCAAGCACACTTGGGAAGTTTGAGAAAAGACAGATTGGAAGTCAGGGGACCTGGGTTCAAGTTCTGGATCCATTTCTAGCCAGAACTTAGACAATAAGTCAACCACCTTCTCTGAGCTTTAGTTGCTTCATCTGGAAAAAGAAGTGCTGTATGCAAAAGCTAAAGATCTTCCCAGCACCCGAGTGCTGGGTCAATGAAACAGGTGTCCAAACTGAAATTGTCACAATTTTGATCTCTGTGCTTTTGCTACCTTTCAAGTTAAAAGAAAAAAAATCAATCAAAGACAGAAAAAGCTATAGATTTCCACCAAGGAACAGACCATCATGGAGAACTGAATATCACATTAGAAAACATCTAATCAGGTGAATATGGATGAATTGAGAGTGATCAACTATCCACGTTTGCCCAGGACTTAGGGATTTCAGTGCAAAAACAGAGACCGCAGGCAAACAAGGACTCTGGGTGATGCAGAGAGGGTGAAAGCACATGTACCAGGAAAGGATCGGGTGGATCTATAACCTGTACATCAAAAGACCCTGAATCATTCTTATTTTTTATCAGCCATGAAAAGGGCACTCAGAAACCTGCAGTACATTTGTCATAGAATTAATTACGTTTCCAAAAACAAATGGAAAATCCATTTGAAAAGGATATATCATCCACTCATCCCGTAGCACCATAACATAGTACACAGCAGTTTTCCTTTTTTGTTTTTTTAAGTGACTACCAATTTTGTTATATTATAAATTACAAATTGCCTCTCCCACACCTTTCTTCTACCTGCCTCCTTCCGCACTTCTCTTTCCATTTTTAATCTCTGGCACACACACACGTGTGTTACACAGATCATTAGATGAAGGTCAATCATGTTGACTTGAACAAAAACAGAAATAAGATCTGACAGCTCCTCAATGGCCATTGACACAAAAACTCAAAACACTCGGTATTTTTTCTAAGGAAAAGTCACGAGCGTCAGCACATATACTGGCATGAATACTTGTTCTTGCCAAATGAATCAAGATGGGAATGTTAATTTACTTGAGTGGATGTAATTCCATGCTTGATTAAAAGAAGGGTGGCAATATACTATACCAAAGCCAACTGTCACCCAAAGAAGTCTGAGCGTATGTGAGTGCACATGTAAATACACACATGTGTATATATCCCAGCACCTTCCCCAGAGCGAGAACCAGAAGGCCTTGTATTGAATTGCCATATGGAATATTTAGTGCCTGGACACTTGTCATTAAAAGAAGCACTTGCTAAGCATGTAGTTTTCTTTAGAAAGTTTTATAACTACAAACTACAAAGCAGCTCAATTAGCCTTATTTCTCCCAGAAAAATCGTCTATGAAGATTTCTACAGATGAAAACATGCCTTTGAGAACCGCAACTTCTCCCAAAGGAGATGAAATAAGGGATAAAAAGATAGAATTACTATTATTTCTCCTCATTTAATTTTAAATGAATCTACACTTAACTGAAAAATGCGACTCTAGCTGGGTCTCTGCTAGCCGACCTCATTTGATCTCATTTTTTCAGAACTATTTGCTCTATTTTCAAGTTTCTTAAGAATCCCCTTGAGTATTTGTTTAACATTCAGATTCCTGGGTCAACCCCAGATTCTGTTTCAGTCGTGTTGGAGTGGGCCCAGGAATCTTCTGTGGGAGATCAAGATTTGGCCACCCTGAAATATATCTCTTTACCTTGATTGTTTTCTCTGAAGGACATTTGACCTCCCCCACTAACTGCCTAAAGAATTTGACATGGTGGCTCCTTCCTGGAACAGATCTTCTATCATGATGGCTGTAATGATAATGTAAAATAGATGTTACAATGGGAGGGGCACCAAGCCCCTTTTATCAAAAAACTCTATCTCTCCCTGACCACATTATCTATAGATGACCCTGAAAAGAATTGTCTTCCTGCCCTCTGAAGTCCCAGGCCACTACCCGCCCCCAACACACTCCTCGCCTTTAGCTGCAATACTTAAGCAAGCAGCTTAGACAGAGGGACGAGTTGCTCATTTCTGAGTTTCTCCCATGTATACATGTTATTAAACTTGGTATTATTTTCTCCTGCTAACCTGTCTTGTTAATTATTTGGCCAGCCATAAGAACCTTAAGGAAGAGGGAGGAGGGAGATTCTCCCTCTTCCCCAGACACTTCATTTTTAAAAGCTGTCCCAGATGATTCTGATGAAAGGTCAAATGGCCCCACTTTGAAAAACTCTGCTCTATTGTAAATCATTTGTTTCTTTTGAAACAAAAGGGTTTACTCCTTAAAAGTTCACAGTGGTGGGGCCGGCCTGGTGGCGCAAGTGGTTAAGTGCGCTCGCTCTGCTTTGGCGGCCCGGGGTTCTCATGTTTGGGTCACCGATGCACCGCTTGTTAAGCCATGCTGTGGCGGCATCCCATATGAAGTAGAGGAAGGTGGGCATGGATGTTAGCTCAGGGCCAATCTTCCTCAAGAAAAAAAAAAGTGGGGGGGAGGATTGGCATCGGATGTTAGCTCAGGGCTAGTCCTCCTGACAAAAACAACAAAAAAAAAGTTCACAGTGGTGTAAAAAGCACCCAAATCCAATATATGAATAGAGTAAGACCTCACTGATTTGGAACTGAAAGGCAACCAACAGAATTTCTAGATTCTAAACACCATGAAGGCAAAAATCAGATATTTTCATCTCGGTGTCCCCTGCAGTTCCTATCATAGTATATTTTACACAGTAGGCGTAATACATACTTTAAAAGCATCAAATTCCTGAAAACTATGAATTATACTATATTGAACAATATAATTTTCAGAGCTGTAAGAGCCTGTGAAGATCATGTAAGATATTAGTTTTTAAACTAGGGGGACATATCAGAATTTTAGAGATTGAGGGAGGACAGTCATATATACTTTGAAAAAGCTTCTGAGATGATTTTGATACACCCAATGAGGACTCCTGATCTGAGGCCAGATCACCTGTCATTTGACCTAAGAAAAACCCAAGGCTTGGATATCTAAGTAGCTTTCCTGAAGGACACCTTAATCTTAGGCCATAAACTACAGGTCTACGAACTCTAAAACCAGTGCTGAGCCACTACAACATGGTGCGAGCAAAAGTATTTCATTTGAGAGAGCCCCACAGGTACATCAGCTAACAAGATGTTGTTACAAGGAGGTCCTGTTATCAAAATGAGGCTCTATCTTAATTGCCGTAGTGGCTAGATACCAACCAACCATACACAATGAATTATTTGCATTAGGTGCAAACAGGTTGCTAAACCAGTTTTTCAGTGCTGAAAACAGAAGTCTCTTAAGGGAACCTAATATTCCCCCCCTTGCAATCTTATTTACACTATTAATTTGCTAAACAATCCATTTCCTCATTGTTACTGCAATGTTAAACCTTAGCTGATCTGAGGATCTAAATAGATCCCTGTGGTGCAGAGCTCAAATTAATAAGCTTTTACTATTAGTACTGATGGAAGGGAGAAAAATGGATATTTTCTTCCCTTTGTTAAATCCACCTGTTGCCACACTCTAGCTCCTGCACTCAGCTCACCAGGCACTGAAAAATAAATTTGCACCAGGTAGGTTGTGCATTATGGGTTTTCGTTTGGGGAACTAATGACTGTTATTTCCATTATTCCAAGAACATTTCTCATTTCACAGTAAGAAATATAGGAAGACGCGATAAAAAAAAAAAAAAGATTAGAAAAATAATGCCATTAGGCCCCTCTGATGTAAGGAATAACTAAGATTAGGCAAGCTCTTCCAATACTCTGAGCTTTCTGATACAAATGGAAGC